GGGGAAGTCATCGCTGGGTCTCATGGGGATTGATGCATCGATCTTAGTCCATTCGTGAAAAAGGAGCCGGTAGTCCCTCACTAAATCCCTCCTCCCTTGTCCCTCCTCTAGACCTTTTAGTCTGCCTTTCCATTCAATTTCCCCAATTCTCCCGCCATTGTCCCCCCCGAGCCAGCTCAGGCTAAAATCCTGGATTTTTTGTTGGATGTCTTTGGGTGTGTGTAATAACTGGATTTGCTTCCTGGTTTTCTCCCATTTTTCTCTTATTTCTGTTTGGATCTGTTGTTGTATGCTTTCCGTGAAGTTTGGGCCTTCCAGTCTTGCTCTTTCCATTTCATATGTGCAGCGCCATCTCCATAGGGCCCAGAGCACCGCCCTTCGACCTCGTTTAAACATGTTATTAATGAAGTCGTCTAGTTGGTCCGTAGGGTGGGTTTCGCATAGCAAGGCTTTCCAATTCCACGGCCACCGGATCTGGGTTTCTAATTGATCCCAGATTCTGTCCCACCATCTCCACAGCCACACCGCGCCGGGGCACTGAAGGAATATGTGTTCAATTGTTTCTGGCAGTTTTCTGGAGGGGAATGCATCGGTGCAAAGCCTACACCAGGGCAGGGCTTGCCCTCTTTGTTCCAGATTTGTCCTTTCTATCAGCCAGTCCATTGTCGGCAGGCAGCGGTGCTCAAGTTGCCATTGCAGCGAGGCAAATTTTCTCGATTTTTCCTTGACCGTTTTGAACCACTTTATATCTCTTAGCTTGCCCTTGTCGATGTTTAGGTGGTTCATCCATTGCGCCTCCACTCGATCTCGAAGGTTTATTCTCGGCCTGAGGAGCCTGTAGGTTGATTTAATTGTAAGGCCGTATAATGTCCTGGTGATTTTCCTGCCCATCCCCGCCGAAGTTGTCCATGTCCATTCCACGAGGGCCAGGCCGAGTTGATGGATCGGGGTTTGGTGGGCAGTAGGCGGTCTATTGCTCTTTTTCGTGGAGCACTCTGATTCTGAACAGATCCTCTTTCTGTTGTAGTATTGTTTCTTCTGGAGAAGTTCCTTGGAGGATGTTGTTCCAGACTAATTGGAAGAGGTTTACTCTTAGTGAGCCATCTGGTTCGCAGTGGACTATGCGGCCCACCTGATGTGGTCGATCCCTCAACGCCACCCAATCCAGTTCTTGAAGGGTGGGGCTTTCCTCAGAACCCTCCACCATGCCAAGGGGATCTTTTCTATTATGGCTTCTAGGGCATCCTCCGGGCGGTGGCAGTAGCGAAGTCTCTTTCTTAGCTGGCCCGGGTCGATCCTTCTTTGTGCTTTGTCCCATATATCCTTTATCCTTGTTACTCTCCGCCTGGTCCAACGTTGCCATGGGGAGTCCATACAATGGAGGGTTTGGCCCTTTAAATCTGTTATCCACCTGTTCCCAAAAAGCGGTTGTCGTGCCACTTCTTCCCGTCTCTCTGGAGGAGTTCTATCCGGTAGGGGCACACTTCTCCATGTTTTCAAGAGGTCGGGCCCAAAGGGGTCATTACGCAGGTCAGCCCTTGTTGCTTGCCTGGGCGAGTCTGGGGGGAGATGACCGTGTTGCATACCTCTTCTTGGGATGGGTCATGTCTTGTTTTCTAGCCACATCAGGGGGTCGCTCCCCTCCGCTGTCTGCTGCGCCGAACGGGAAATTTGTTCCAGGGCCAGCCCCTTCCACGGGGTGTCCTGGTTGAAGAGTAGGCGTTTGGCTGGGGTCTATGGTCCCTCGGAGCTGGGAGGGTGGCCAACAAGCTGGGATGAGTCGCGCCATTCTGTAACCGAAGACGCCTTGAGCAAGCCACACGGGGCCCAGCACACAGATAAAACAAGTCCAACGCCTCCTGAGGTCTCCGGCCAATCGCATATCCTGGGTGTTTTTTTCAGACATGTTACGATCCTGGTCAATTTCAAAGTGCAAATTCACGAGAAAGTACAATGCTGTCCAATTGCAAAAGAAATTAATGAACTTAAGAGAAGAGAGGGAGAAAGAAGAAGAAGAAGAAAACGTGCATCAGCAAAAGACCAATGATAATTCCTCCTACTTCGCCAACCAACTTTTTTTTTTTTTTTTTTTTTTTTTTTTTTTTTAACACACCCCCACCAGTGTTAGTGGAACACATCAGAAGAACAATTGTGGGGTATTCCTGCCAGCATTGATTACCCTGGGATCAGGGGATTGACCGAGCAGGATGTGGGGAGGAGGGAAGG